TCACCCTTGGGCGGGTTTGCCCTCTCTGGTATCTCTGCAAGTAAATAGACCACCATTATCCTTATCAGAAGGGAGTGGGTCTTATTCAGGGTGAGTCAGACTAATGGTCTAGCCACTACAGATGGCCAATGTCAAGGAGAATAACCTCTGACCTACTTTCGCCGAGAGTCACTCTTAAGCAGCTAAGTTTGGTACATATTTTGGGGAGACAACTTAAGAGAATTCCTTCTGTTCCCCACACCAACCCGCAAACGTGAAGGTTTCCTCCATGGGGAGCCTTGACCTCTCAGACTCCTTCACGTATGAATGTTGAGTTTGTCCGTATGAATGTTGAGTTGGTCCTCATCCACTCTCTTCCCAGTTCTGTTTCCCACCACTGGAACTGCTTTTCTTTGGAGAGGGGTGTAATATTAGCTGGTATTGCCCATTTCTCGGGGCTTAGACGGATGGATATTCCCCGCACGTGCAAGCCATAATGGGAAGACTCAGACTTCAGAGACAGAATGTCCGCCTGGGGGTCTATGGTAGGTCAGCACCAGGATGAGGTCGCCAACCAGGTTAGAGGCACTGCTGTTCGAAAAGGCAGCTTTTCAAATTCCACCTGGATTCTAGACTGGACACAACTTCCCATGGAGGTAATGCTCGCCCTGTGGTGGTGACATCATCTGGTGTCAACTTGAGACTATTAAGAGTGAACGGGTGGAGCTTAGCCTGCCAATCAGGTCACAGCTTGATGACCTCATTTGGAGGTGTAATAGGGATCAATAGCTCACTGGAAGCCAGATTCACACTCCCTTTCCTGCTGTTGAGACACGCAGAGGGCTGGAGGAGCCACATGGAGACCGTGAGTGGCCGTGTTAAGATGTTTCCACTGCCACTGGAGCCACAAGGCTTTCTATCGACCCACTGGCCCGTGATATTCCTGCATCCAGCATCATTGCATGTGCTGCGTGATTCTAAAGAGGAAGTGTATGGACTAATATCGGACATATGGGCTAATATTGGAATTATGACCTTGATCTGAACTGGGCTGGGGTGTTTTCTCAATATACAATTGCTCTCTGATATAAAGCTCTTTCTTATACATATACAGATGTCCCTGGATTTGTTTCTCTAGTCAACACGGACTAACACACTCCCTATAGTCCTCAAGGGGCAACATTGAGTAGAAGCAATATTGTAAGAGGTAAGGGTTGTATGTATTCCCAAATGATGGAAAAACCATGGTGCATTGGATTCTGGGAATACTGCAGAAATGCAAGAAAATTTTTAAAAAATTGCTTGCCCAGAAGGAATGAATAGATCTCTGCAGAAATTCTATTTAGAATGTCAGTATAGTTCTCAGCCAGAGGAAAGTAGAAATCCCCCTAACTGAACTCACTGCCATCGAGTTGATGCAGAAAGTCACAGGGGCTGGTCTACAGTGTCCGGTAGGGTGACTAAGAGGAAAGCAGAAGGTGGTGGTATAATCTCTTCAGAGTATGATTTATTTTATCGTTGAGAATATACAGAGCAAAAGGAAAAAATCAGTTCAATGTTTCCACATGTGCCCCTTGGCGAGAGGGTCTATTCTTTGACCGGGGCATTCATTCGTCCTCTCTTTCTGAGTTACTCCTCCCACGCTAACAAAAGTCACTGCCCCTGAAGGTGTCTCTTGCATCTTTCAGGGCCCTGTTGTCACCTTGATCTCAAAGAGGTAGCCCTTACCTACTGGTATTGAACCTCTGACTTATAACAAACTCCCTACCATTGAGTCAAAGCTAACTCATAGTGCCCCATGGTGGCATTCCCATTCTGTAACTGTTTACAGGAAAACCCTTCCTTCCCACCACCCCCACCACCCGGGGAGCTTTTGGTTGTTTCAAACTGCTGACCATGTGGATTGGAGTCCAGTTTGTACCTATGACCCCACCAGGGTGTTTTTCCTGACTCATAGTGACCCTATCAGGCAGAACAGAACTTTCTCCTTTGGGTTTCTGAGGTTGGGTTTCTGAGGTTCTAAGGGAACAGGAAGCCCTCTTTCTACTTGCAGATAGCAGTCCAGCACATGTCCTGGACAGTTCTTAGACGAGCATCAGGCTCAAGGTAGACATCTTGGGGATTTTGAATGAGGGTGTGGGTGAAACATGTTGCAAGTACCCTGAACTTTCAGAAGAATCAACAAGTCTGTCTGGGAAGATGTCAGATTGCACCTGAATGTTCTTGACAAGTGAGCTTGGGGAGGAAACTTGGGCTCAAGGACTTTGGACACCTTATCAAGGGAGACCGGTCCCTGGAACTTGGCCATCCTGCTTGGTCAAGTAGAGGTCAATGAGAAAGAGGATGACTCTCGATGAGATCATGGGCTCAAATCTAACAATTCTGAGGCTGGGGCAGAACCACCCAGGGTTGGGTTCTGTTGCACAAGAGGTGGCTAGGAGCTGGACCTGACTCGAGGGGACCTCCCCTCAACTGTTAAGCCGAGTAAGGGTTTGATTTTAAGAAGAAAGAGTTCGGGAATGGGGGGCGGGGGTATATCTTTCAGGCTTTACGTTTAAAGATGATCTCAGAACAATAGTTTCAGGGATTTGTGTAACCTTCGTGAATCCAGGAAGTGTGGGGTCCCTGAGAATTTGAAATTCGGTTCTACACTCCTCCCCTTTTAATCAGGATTCTTCTATACAATCTTCACCAAATGTTGGGTACAGTCGCTGAGCATTATCTCGCTCGAGCCTCATGACAAAGGGGGCAGTAGTTCACGGAGACATGTAAGCAGAGGGTGGGCATCGATTTTCTGTTCCTGACTTGCCTTCTCTTATGCTCCAAGTAAATAGAGATGAAGTGTATGTTGAATGGCCATTTACCTGCCTTTCAGCCTCAAGACACCACACAACTAAGTATTAAACCAACGAACTGGGATGTCCCACAAAATCACAATCTTAAGCCTCCAAACTAAATGATGAGGTTTTGGTTGGACAAACAAAATCACAGCCATCGAATCAATTCTGACTCATAATGACCTTACAGGACAGGGTAGAACTGCCCTTGCGAGTCTGAGGTTGCTAACTCTTTACAGAAGCAGAGAGCCTTATCTTCTTTCTCCTTGAGTGGTGGCTGCTGGCTTTGAACCGCTGACCTTGAGATTAGCAGCCCAAAGAGAGGGTGATCACGACACCACCAAGGCTCCTGGGTTGTACAAGGGAGCTTCAAAAAAGTCAAGGAAAAATTCCTTTATTTATTTTTTTCCTTTATTTTTTAAATTCCATTTTTTCCCCATGAACTACTTGAAGCATCCTCTTTTTCTTTTTCTTTGTCATTGCAAATCCATCTAGCACTCAATCTTTGCCAAGTAGACTTATGAAAACTTTTCCACAGTCATTCATAAGCTGTTCTTTCCTTTCTCCTACTGGCTGATAAAAGAAATGCAAGTACGAAAGATCACGATGCATTAAAAATAGGTTGGGTGAATGAAAGCAACTGTGCTCACCATAAAGATGGTATCCAGCTGATGAAATGGTTGACTCTCAAAGATTTATGAACACTCATTTGGATCAATGAACTTTGGGAGAGTCATAGAACAGATGACAAAATGCCAGACGGAAAAATAAAGATTTACATTGCTTAATGAAAATACGTTTACAAATGCACAACACAGAAAAATGAGCACAATTGCTAAAACGCGTGTTTTCATGCTGACCTTTGTATTTCAGGGAGAGGATTTATTGATGAGTTTTTTTTCTTTGTTATCATTTTATTGGGGGCTCGTACAGCTCTTATCACAATCCATCCATCCATTGTGTCAAGCACATTTGCACATAGGTTGCCTTCATCATTTTTTCCAAACATGTTCTTTCTACTTGAGCCCTTGGTATCAGTTCCTCATTTCCCCCCTTCCTCCCTCCCTCAGGAGCCCTTGATAAGTTATAAATTATTGTTTTTTTCATGCCTTACACTGACCAATGTCTCCCTTCACCTACTTTTCTGTTGCCAGTCCCCCTGGGAGGGGGGCTCTATGTAGATTATTGTGATCGGTTCCCCCTTTCTCCCCTCTTCATGAGTATTCTCACACCCTCCATAATGTATAGATTGAGGAGCCCTGGTGGCGTAGTGGGCCATGCGAACTATTAACTGCAAAGTCAATAGTTCGAAACCACCAGCTGCTCTAAGGAAGAAAAACAAGGCTGTCTACTCTCTTTGAAGAGTTCCAGTCTCAGAAACCCACAGCGACGTTCCGCCCCTGCCCTACAGAGTCGCCCTGAGCTGGTATCGACTCCATGGAAATTAGTTTGCTTTTTTTTTTTTTTTTTTTATTAGTTTGCTTTTTACAATGATAACGCCATATTCTCACGATTCTGGAAGGCAAAGGATTTTCTCATTTCTCTACTCACAAAAAAACAACCATCTCTTTAGGCGGTTACTAGGCAACCCTCGCCGGACCGAACCACCATGCACGGTGAGGGTGGGGGGTACTTCCCCCCCTTAGATCGTCCCGGGAATCTCGCTCTAAAAGCGGGGGGTTCCGACTTCGGGGCGCGGCCATCTTTGAGCAGGGCAAAGAGGCTCGGCGCTTTTGCACGGGACTGGTTTGGCTCGCTGGTTCCTAGGCAACGCCCGGCCCCACTCGCCCGCTCCGAGAGAGCCCGGTTCCCCGCCAAGGTCAAAGGCGGCCTACGAAGGCCTCGGTTGCTAGGCAACGCCTCCCGCCGCCGAGCGGGGCACGTCGGTTGACCAGTGGAGGCGGCACACCTTGGTCGCCCGGGGCGGTTGCGCACCCACGTCTTTGCACCGGCATCCACCCCCCCACCCCCACCCCCCGAGCCGGGCTCTGCGTTACCCCTCGCCCCCGAAATAGGACCGGACGGCTCCGGGGAGAGACGGCGACGCGCCGCCGGCGCGCTGGGCGCCCCCTCGCGGTTCCCGCGTCTCCACTTCCGGCTGCGGCGGAAACGCGGCCGACGGCGTCCCGGAAGGGAGCTCAGCCTTGTCTCCATCAGCGTCCCATCTCTGGCGCCGTGGGCTGGCTTCATGTTCCTGGCCCGGCCCGCGGCGACCACGGGGCTGCCCTTCCGATGGGGGAGGAGAGGGGCCCGGGGGGCGCCGTGCACCTGCTGTGCCTCGCGGCCTCCAGCGGGGTCCCCCTGTTCTGCAGGAGCAGCCGCGGTGGCGTCCCTACCCGCCAGCAGGTGGGGGCCCCCCCCCCACCCCGGACAGAAGGGGGTCAGACGTTTGCAATCAAGTCCCCAGTGTAGAGTCTGGGGACGCTTCCACATTCCCTGGGCGACGGATGCCAACATTCTGGTTCCCCCGAGAGAGGGTCGGGTGGGGTGGGGTGGGGCTACACTGTGAAGATCCCGGATGAGGGGACTGAAAGCTCTGGTCTAAGGTCCCCCACCCTCCCCAGCTGCCGTTCTCCGTCATCGGCTCCCTCAATGGAGTCCATATGTTCGGGCAGAATCTGGACGTGCAGCTGAGCTCTGCGCGGACCGAGGACACGACCGTGGTGTGGAAGAGCTTCCATGACAGGTCCTGGGCGCCCGGGGACTGGGTTTGGGGTGATAGCCCTTCAGGACCATAATGCCTGAGGGTTTTTCAGCTCCCTGGTGGAGTTGCTTTTTAAATTTATGTTTAGTAAACTGGTGATTTCCTCTTTAGAGGGAGGCAGGTTGGGCTGGGGGTGGTGGTGGTGGGGGGACTGCCTTTCCTCACTACCCTGCACCCCAGGTCGAGGTCCATTCTTCTTCCCCGACAGCATCACCCTCATTGTCTTGTCTTCGGAGGGAGGCCATTCAGAGCTGAAGCTGGAGAGATTACTTCAGATGGTGTTTGGGGCCATGGTGAGATGCTCCCAGCCCTGCAGATTCAGGAGTTTGGAACCTCAGCTCTCTCTTCCGCCAAGAAGACCCTGTAACCCTGACCCCCCAGACCAGCGGTTCTCAACCCCTGGGTCGTGACCCCTTTGGGGTCCAATGACCTTTTCACAGGGGTCGCCCGATTCATCACAGTAGCAAAATGACAAGTGATGAAGTAGCAACAAAAATAATTTTATGGTTGGGGGGGGTCACCACCACATGAGGAACTGTATGAAAGGGTCTCAGCACCCAGACTCATCATCTCCCAGGCCCCATCCCTCTTCCCTCAGCCCCAGGCTCCTAGGCTCTCAGCCTCTTCCTTCCTCAGCCCCCTCCTTCTGAGTGGGTAAGACCTCCGCTCTTGGCTTCGCACCGTGAAAGAATTCACGACGAAGCCTATTTTGTCATCCAAGTGGGCTTTTGTGTAGGGCAGGACTTCAGTTTGACAGTCTCAAATGGGTTCACAACTGGGCCATGTAGAAAAGAGCACCCACGTGGAAAAGAGCACCCACGGGTGTGGATCTTGGTGGGCGTGATCCTTGGGTGGCCAGAAGGGGAGACCCTCCCCCTCTACTTTTCTCTGACCAGGAAGGAGCAGGGTTACCAGAGAGCCCATCTTCCCACAGCCAGGATATTTCAAGCCTCTTGCTGGGGAGGCGTGGTTGACAGTATTGGCTGGCCTCATTGGCTGTGTTAAAGCCTACCTGGATGATGTCATGGGCCTAGTTTGGACCGGCCCAGGTGTACCTCCTACCCGGCTGGGGGCTTGAATTGAGCATGCTCAGTTTGAGCGTCTTGGTAGGCATTTAATGGTCGCCTGATTTCCTTCCAACCTCCTCTAGGGGGCCTGGGCAGGCATGGGAGGGACAACCCCCCTTGTCCCTGAATCTAGCTACCTAACATTTCCTCAGGCTCAGCAGTCCAGGGCCTTCGGTCCCATCCTCTCAGCCTCCGTTGTCAACGGCCCCCATTCTCCAATATGGTTCTTGTAGGTTCTTCTCGTGGGACTTGAAGAACTGACCAACATCCGAAATATAGAGAGACTGAAGAAAGAGCTGAGGGTAAGGCTGTAGAATGGGAAAATGGGATGTTAGAATACCTGGGTGCTGTCCTCCAGAGACTGCATTTCCCAGAAGCCCTGCAGGGCAGCCTGAGCCCTGGGATCTTAGGGGCTTCCCGGTTGTCTAGTCCAGCAAGCCTGGTTTCCCCAGGGAGAGGCAGCAGAGCTGAGACCTGCTGGGGTCCCAGGAGACTTCCTTCTCCCTCTGTTAGGCCAGTTACCACCTCATTGACAGCTTCCTGGGGAACTCTGAGCTCATTGGGGACCTGACCCAGTGTGTGGACTGTGTGATTCCTCCGGAGGGATCCCCCCTGCAGGTAAAGCTTCTGGTCTCTTAAGCTAGTTTGACCTTTGTTTATCCCCACAGGGGTCCTTCTACTCCCCTTTCCTGCGCACAGCCCTCGGGTAATGTCAGTCAAGACCCCCAAACAAGGTCCCGGCCCCTCAGCCTTTGCAAGCCTCCAGGGCGCTCTCGGGGTGGGGGTGGGGGGGTCTGTTCCGTGAGCTCAAGGCTTAACCACCGCACCACCAGTTCTTCGCACTCCAACCGCCGCTAAACCTGGCACCTACATGCCGAGCAGTGTGCCCAAGTCCCAACCGCCTTCCAGCTTCCCCAGCCTTGGCCCTTGCTGCTCTGCTGCCTGCCTACTGCCCCCCAAGTGTTTCTAAATCCTGCTCCCCTTCTGCTCAGGGCTGCCTCTCCTCCGTGAGACTTGTGGCTATTGACTATTGACTTGACCTCTGCAGTATCTGTAGGTGGATGATGGGTCTGACCTGGTGGGGAGCAGGCCGGCGGTACTCAACCTGTGGGTCGCGACCCCTTTGGGGGTCGAACGACCCTTTCACAGGGGTCACCCGAATCATAACAGTAGCAAAATGACAGTGATGAAGTAGGCATGAAAATAATTTTATAGTTGGGTGGTCCCACCACACGAGGAACTGTACGAGGGTCGCGGCATTAGGAAGGTTGAGATCCACTGCAAGCGGTAGCTACTGTTCCAGTTGTTAGTCTCCCGTACACTGGTCACTGGTGGCGTGCTATGCGAAGGAACTCAAGCCAGGGAGGGTGATGTGCCTGGCCTAGGCCACTCAGCCTCGACAGGCTTGAAATTGGGTGGTGGGTCTCCCTTCCCCACCACCCCTGCCCATCGCAGGAAGCCCTGTCGAACTTCGCCAAGGCCACCAGGACGGCCTTTGTCAGCCTAGTGGTGTCAGGCCGGGTGCTGGCAGCCACGGAGGGCTGGTGGCGGTTGGGGACACCGGAGGCCGTGCTGCTGCCCTGGCTGCTGGGATCTCTGCCGCCACAGACCGCTCGAGATTACCCGGTGTATCTGCCCCACGGGAGCCCCACGGTGGGTGCTCTGGTGGGCGGGGCGGGCCTTGGGCCAGTGCGTGGAGGTGGGAGTGGGAGGACGCACTGGCAGGACCTGGGCTTGCTATGAGGCTGGGGCTTGGCTGAGGCCTGTGGGCGGGGCCGGGGGCGGAGCTCCCGCTAGCCACACCCACTCCTTCAGGTCCCGCACCGGCTCCTGACCCTGATGCTGCTGCCCGGCCTGGAGCTGTGTCTGCTCTGCGGGCCACAACCGCTACTCAGCCAGCTTGACCCTCAGGTTCACTGTTCCCCTGACCCCCGTGCTCTTACTCCTTACCTCTCACTCCGGGGGCTCCCACCAGGTCCTCACCACCAGCCCCACCGGTCACACCCACTTTGTGGAGCTCCGCCCCTCCTCACGCCAAACCCTTCTCCTGGCCCCGCTCCTCCCAGCTTTGCTGGGGTGGGGGGGGGGCTTTTATCTAGCCACGCCTTACCCTTGGTACCTTCCCTGTCTGGTCACAACCCCTACCATACCTCATCCCCCCTGCAGCTCCTGGAGAGTTGGTGGCAGCCTCTCTTGGAGCCACTGAGGGCCAGCGTCCTGCTGGGCCCTGGTGCCCTGCCTGCAGGCTTCCCCCTGCACGAGGACATCCTTGGGTAGGACTCAGACCAGCGTGGGCTGAGGGTAGTCCACATTCCTCTTTGCTGGCCTTGACCTATGCCCCCTTTCCTCGAAGGCTGCTGCTCCTCCACCTGGAACTGAGACGCTGCCTGTTCACCGTGGAGCCCTCGGGGGACAAAGGTGATTGAGGAAGGGCTGGGCAGATGTGACCTGGTTAGGGCCTCTGGACACCCTGTTTCCCTTCTCCTTTCTAGAACCTTCCTTGGTGCAACGTCGGCGCCTCCTGCGCTCCTTCTACTCCTTGGTCACTTCCACACACTTCCCACCAGGTCAGCGGTGGGAACATGCAGTCAGGGACAGCTCAGGGTGGGGGTGCGGGCTGCAGTGGAGGCACCTGTGTTGGAAGAAGCGCCCTGGGGTACTGGGTACGGACAGCGATCTATGGGCGCACTGAGCCCAGGTTACAGGGCCTGCTGGGTGAGACCGGTGGTTCATAAGTCGCTCAGCTTTGATAGGGAAAGGCCCAGGTTCCAGACATGGAGACCGAGGCTCAGCTAGCAAGTGGCAGAGCCATGCCTCCCAAGGCCTCCTTGAAGCCCTCATTCCCTGCTGGTGTTCCCATACAGGGTGGCTTGGGATTCTGGGGAGACCGATGAGTAGGGGTTAGATGCTCCAGAGGGTGGGGGTGGGGGTGGGGGAAGACCACTGCCTCTCACTGGCTACAGCCCCTAGCCTCCCAGCTAGATTCACCTGTCGGGGGTCAGGTGCTGGAACCGGTGGGATGGAACAGCAGTCCAGAGTTGCTTAGACCTCCCAGGATCAAACACTGACCCAGGGCAAGGGCAGCTCCCTTGGATGGCCTCCTTGCTGTCTGGGCCTGCTGCTCACCCCTGCCCTCCCTCCCTGTCATTCCTCAGAGCCTGGGTTGCCGGAGAAGGTGGAGGACACAGCGCAGAAGGCCCAGGTGCCGAGAGCCTGCTACCTGGTGTCTGGGCCCGAGGAGCCAGGGACAGGGTGGCGGCTGGTGGCCCTGCAGGTGGGGCCTCGGCGGCTGCTGCTTCTGCTCTCCCCTCAGAGTCCCACCCATGGCCTGCGGAGCCTGGCCACCCACACCCTGCAAGCCCTCACCCCGCTGTTCTGACGCCTGTTGTGGGAGACACAAGTATAGACGGGGCTACTCACGTTGTCTCTGTTTATTCGCTCACAATAATACATGGCCCCTGGACGGGAGTGGTCAGGCGGGGCTACGATGG